GCCGAAAACAAGGAAGGGTTGAAAACGCTTGTGTTTTCTCGTAACACACATTTTGAGCTTTCCTTATATTTAGCACTTCGGCCACTTGCATCTTATATATGATCATTTCACAAGAAGAAGGAACTACATTACAAGTTAACATTATTATATCTTTTTATTAGTTGCAAGATTCTTTTAAATTATATAGTTCCATGAATTTAGTAAGGGTCCTTATAAATAAAGAATCTACTTAAGTTGCTCTAAAACTTCTCCAAGCTTAAGACTCGGGTTTTCGGCATCTAGTCAAATTAACTCGTCTTTTATAAACGGATCCAAAACTAACGTTAACATCAACATCATCTTAATTCTAAATTTATTTGGGGTCGTCCGCATAAATTCTCAATTTCCATTCATTCCGTTTTTCAGTTAGATCTTTCAAAATTTACAACATTTTTAAGTCATTACTAATGATTCAGTTCCCAAACAAACATAGAACTACCACTTTATTTTCTCTTCTCCGTCATTCTTATATTCTCCACTTTTCTAATATGAATATCTATCGGTCTACGTTGTGCATGTGCAAAACCACCTTAAACTTTCCTCTCATTCTCTTCTATTTCTATTACTCATATTTTTTCTCTAATTCTATACATTCTTGTGTGCTTACATATCCATCGCAACGTCTTCATCTCATCCATATTCGTTTTAGAATGATGTCATCATTTCACCACCCAAAATTCGCTATCGTACATCAATGTAAATCTTATGGTTGTACAGTAAAATTTTTATTTTAAACTATATGGAAACCTTACAGTCGTAAAGAACCTCGTGATTTATCTTTATTCCATCTACCACATTTTTATCTTGTGACTAATATCTTCATCGTAACCTCATCGTTTTGAAAGATTGGACCAACATATTTAAAATGCGGAGCCAAAACTAAATTAAAAAAAATAAAATTTATACGAGTAATCGGGTGGTGATTAATTAGTAATAACTATAGATGGAAGAATAAAGAAAAAAAATATCGTATACATCCATGAATCAAGAGAATTAAAAATCGTAGATTAATTTCGATTAAAAACATAATCAATCATCAAGATGTCGACACTTTTTTTTATAAAATCAATAGAACTTGTCAATATATTTGCCAACAAGCTTTGAAACTAAGACTCTATAGCCCCTTTCGGTGGGATGAAAACTGTCCCAAAACACAAACTCATCCCTGTTAGGACATACAGTTGAAGTATATTTGTTACAAGTAGCAGTGACTTCTATGTATCCTGTTCCACAACATCCTCTGTCACCAACCTTAAATCCTGCAAGAACTCCCACAACAAATTCATACGTTAGCCGTATTTTCTTATCGAAAAATACAAATTTATACCCGAATTAACATAATCAATAGATGCATTTGTAGACTAGATCGACTAGAGAATTTAAGGAAACTATAATCCGAGAAATTAATGTTGGTATTCTCTACTCACCGAAGAGAATCGTAACCATGTTTCTGCTAACATGATTAATCTTAGAATTAGCGATAAATATAACCAAATATAACGCAACTCACGGGATCGAACGAAACCAATAACAAAATGAAACCCGCATAAATATAAAAGATCTGCGATAATTACCGTAATTTTGAAAGTTTACGATGATATCGAGGAGAGGAGTATAAATATCGGCGTAAACAAGATTGCCCCCGGGTAGGGTTCTTGCCAAAGAATCAACAGTAGCAGAGAGTTTGGAGTTGAAAAGCTTGGCCGCGTCGTTTAATCTCTCAACACATTCTCTAGAGGGTCCTCCTGCTACCGTCCTTTGCGATGGAACACAACCAATCGGCGGTGCGCCCAATACCAATATCCTTCTTGCTCCATATCCGTACAGTTTCTAAAAAATAACACAAACCAATTACCATCACATAACATCTATAAAGAAATACGGAGAAAATACGAGAAGATTATGTAATATTACGTAATATTTAGATTTGGTTTTGTTTCTATATTTAGATGTTTATATATATTAAATCAGATATTTTATGATTTCGTTTTATATTATAAATATTGTAATGTTTTATGTTGAATAATGAGAAATCTAATGATTTTCGGCTCTTTCTCTATTACGTATGAAGATGCTTAGAGATTCACAAATAAAAGCTTGGTAATGTGATGCCATGCAGAGGTTCATTAGAATCAAACTAGAAAGTATAATGGTGTAAATAATATCGTTACTAGTGATGTTATATGAATGTAAGAGTAGTATTGTAAATATATAATTAGGGTTTTAACCTATACATCTTCCCGTACGTGTATATGATTTTTTTTTGTTAAAGTATGTGTATATGATTTTTGGTAAGTTAAAGCCCTATTATATATATTTAAACGGGTCGACCGATGATCATTCAAAAACAACTTTGGATGTCTAAATATTGCAATTTTTTTTTTGTAAAAAAAAAAAAATTGCAATGTACCTCGAGGATAGAGGAAGCGGAATCGGCCATGAGAGCAGTGTATGTATCGACGTCGTATTTGTATTGCAAAATCGGATACGTATTCGCAATGTCGTTGCTCGCCGTTAAAACCATGTATAAGCTGTTCGCCAATATGAAATTTTTTCTCTCTTCTCCCACCAATTCCTTCACTTTCTCCAAGTATTCTTCGAAATGTTTCAATTGGTCCGTCAATGAAGTTGCCACCTGCCCTCGAGAAAACCATAGTATATAAAATTTAATTCACCTAAGATTTGAATTTACACCCATCAAGTTAGAATAACAATACCTTAATTTGTGAAATTTATCAAAATAAAATCCAAACTTATTTATTTGTCAAATAAACCCTAAACTCTCATGAATTCTAGTGTTTTTCACAAATAAATCCGTGCTTTCAAAATTATATCATATTTAACCTCCCATACTAACATTTCGTTTCGAAATTCGGTCAAAATAAAGATTGACATGTCATCATTCAAAAAGTCGTGTTAATATTAAAGGTTCAATATGACATAATTTTAAAAGTTCGTCCTTATTTATGGAAAACACTAGAATTTAGGAGGATTGGGGTTTATTTAGCAAAAAAATTAATTCGGATTTTATTTTGGTAAATTTGATAAGTTGAGAAATTATTCTTCTAATTTCCCAAATATATATATATATATATATATATATATATATAATTACCGCAAGTGAGTTGGTGAGAGGAATATAACCGGCACCACCAGAAGCAAAAGTCACACCGGTTAGGAGATCTTCTGGTGTCAATTTTGGGTCTAAGTATGCTGGTACGTTCTTCTTTATTCCTATTTCTTCCGCTGTAAAAAAACCAAACCGATAAAAACAAAATAAAGGATAAATCTTCATTTTTCTTGGAAAAAATATACTTATTAATTGATTTTGATCATCAGTTAACCATATTTTTGTGTATGAAACTAGTTATAGGGATTTAAGTCCGTCTATAAAAAAACGAATTGAATTGAACGGAAAAAATTAATTATTATTTAGAAATTAAATACGATTTTTTAAATTCAATTATGTGAATCTAATTCTTAAATTTTAAATAACATTTTAAATAAACCGTGAATTTAAATCGGATTTGAAAAGAATTTGAACTGAGCGAGACGGAATAAAATATTTTAGAAATATTAAGTTTTAAAATAACAAATATTAGCCAAATAAAAAAAACAAATATTAACCTTAAATAAAACAATAATTCAAATAATTTGACAACTAGTCCAAAATTTCTCCATCTAAAACCAGAGTTGCGTGATTTGATGAAACATGAAAATAAAACAATAATTCAAATAATTTGTTGCAATTATTTAATAAAAAAAATAATATGTGTCGCAATTAATGCACAAAATTATAGGTGTAACTTATTATCCATATGTCGTGGATCATTTATGACCACACAATCCCCCCACAAACAAGAAAAGACCACCCGACCAAAATTCTTAAATGCTTCAATAATTTATCCACGCCTTATAGATTTCTCCAAATACAAACGTGATGTAACAACAAGAAACATCTCATTAAAATAAATAAAATTTTATGAATTTTTATACAGATATTGCAATTATTATTTTTATATAAATATACTAAGTTTTTAAAGATTTTAATAGAAGTTTAAAACATCGAATATTTAACAGTTACCCTTTTAACCCCACACAACATTGAGAGATTTTTAAATTTCATTTGTCGGAAATTGAAGGACCGCCGATACAAACTTTTTTAAGTAGGATTCTTTTAAAAAAATATCAGATAGAAATTGAAACATGTCATTTAGCCCAAAAACTAAAGCATCATGTACGTAATGAACACCTTTATATATATATATATATATACACAAATATTCCTAACAAAGCAGTGTATATCAAATTAGTTAGTTATGTCTGTTAAATGAATTTATAACTTTCATATGACATTCTACTTATGGAAATTTAAAAAACGATTCAAAGTACAACACCCAAAAATCGGCTTTAACTGTCATTCTATTTACTTCATATGTAAATTTTTAATTCTTTTTTTTTACACTTTACATATTTACATATTCCAAAGTATCACATATATTTGGTTTACATATTAGTAGGGATAGATATTTCTTTTCAATTTTAAGACATAACTATGTCCAAACCAAATATAACATAAACGTCGAACTGGTTTTCTAATGCTAAAAAAATCAATCGGGAACAGAATATAAAAATAACCAAAAAAACAGATTTTTTTAAAATAAATTTTTTATCAATATAATAATCAAACCCTTTTGAAGAATATTAAAAAAATAATCATATCATGAAAAATTTATCAAATATAAAAAATAAATATTTAAAGTTATTTATTAATATTTGATGTTACATTTAATTTACTTATTATTTTAAAATTCTCATATATTTATATGTTATTTTATTATTAATAAAAAGATCATATTGTTCCGCAAATTTACCCGAATCGAAATCATACCAATTGAATGGATATAATTTTTCAAAAACTAAATTCTGAATCGAACCCAACCCCGAAAACCGAAACGTTCAACCTTAATATTAGAGCAAAGAGAGAGAGAGAGAGCAAAACCTAGCAAATCGGAAGGGACTCTGCCGTTGGAGAATCTTCCGGTAGGGACACCGCCGTCGAAGTCGATACCGTATGGAGGGAAGTTACACTTGCTCGGTGTTTTGAACTTATTATTATTCCCGGCGTCCACTATCGAATCTCCGAACACTATTATCGCCGGCACCGTTACATTCGGCGGCAGCCTCACCTTCGCCTTAGCCACCGTGAAGAATGCGTATTGAAAGAATAAGAACAAGAAAGAAATCGATCGAGATATTCCTGATGATGAAGTCATGAGATGATGAACCAAACTACACGTTTTCACGTTCGAGAAAAACTTATCGGTTCGAAGCTTACAAGAACAAGAAATCTCGACGATTATGATGGTTGCCACAAGTCATGTGTGTATGTGTGTGTGCGTGTATATATATATGTGGGCATGTGGGTGTATGTGTTTGCACCGTACTTAAGTTGCGAATTAATGTGATATAAATACTTTCCAACTGCAACCCTATAGATGAAAATGTGATATATTGGGCTTACGTAAGCTAAGTTATATGAGGGGCTATATATGTGGACCACATTCGCCGATAACTGGTTTGAAAAATTGGGTGTTTGGTTAATTAATTAAGGAATATATTGCCTTAAACACTCTCAAACACTCTTGGCTTTGGTCTTTGGAGCTTTCTTCAAGTCTTCCCTGTTACAAAAAGGTTGGAAAAATATTATTATAATATTTTTATAACATTTAGACGTGAATGGTTGGAGTTTTTAGAATCCAAAAACTAAAAAAATTATCATTCAAGTTTTCACAAAATTACTTTTCCTAAAAACTTAGAAAGTCATTTTAGTGGAAAAATCAAAGAAAAATCAAAAGCTACATTTTTTTTAGTTTTCAAATATTATATAATCCAAAAGCCAAAAACCAAAATCCAAAAACTAAAACTAAAAACCCAAAATAAAACTCATCCTCCTTCAAAGCCTTAGATTTGATTCTATTTTTATATTTATATCAAAATAACTAGTAAGTTTTTGCCATTGTATTTCAAATCATAAAATGCCTAACCGTATAGGTCTTAAATAATAAGAAGATAGTCACACAGCACACTCATTCAGTTGGGTCCATGAAAAAAAATTTTATCCAATAGTAGAAAGAGCTATGACATGAACATGCAACAATACCTTGACACTTTGAACTCGAGAAAAAAAACCGGTTTTTATGTTTTTAGTGTTTTCTTGAGGTATACGAGGATAGGGAGTTTGGTCTGCAAGTTGGTTCGTTAACCAATTCGTTTTCAATGAGTTGGATTGGAAAAATATGAACGCAAAAAAAAGGGTCCGACAAGCCAACTCGTCACGGGCCAGCTCGAACGGCCTGCAAACCAGTTCGTAAATCAAATTTTTTTAAAATATTTTTATTAATATATTTAAATTTTTATTTTTTTATTCAAACTCGTCAACCGACTGAGTTGAAACGATTTGGATCAAATCAGAGTTTTTTTAATTTGATAAAAACGAGTCTCAGATGGATTGGACTAAAACGGGAGGATCCACTACAACATTTCATACGTTCATTTTCCGATTTACTCATGAATCTACTGACGAAATATACACTACATTTGATTAACTGCCGATCATAGTATATATACATGAAATTTCCAACCATATTATAGCTTACGATGAAATGAGTATCTCGAAAGTGTACTGACTGATTTTTTTCCCCGGTGTTTATAAACTTTTAGAATAAATAAATATAGACAAATCGCCGATAGTCGGATCTAAATTAAATTAATTAATAATATTAAGATAGCCTAATTCTATAGATTATGTATTTCAACAAAACCCTTTCCATTTTTTCCATTAATATTCCGACCATTTTTTTTAATCGTACCACTAATCTTAAATGGAGAATTTCAGGAGTTCCATGAAGAATTTATAATATTCAACAATGACAGGCGATTATAGAAAGAAATGAATTACTTCTAGACGCTTTTCTGATGTTGCAATTATGTATATATTAATAATATATGGCAAATAAATTATTTTGTAAATAAAAAAACGAATTCCCTAACAAGAAACTTGACATGAAATTGATTATGTGTTGTAACCAGAAACAGATTTGTTTCTTTTCACATGGACCCTATTGAGAAATGTAATGTGCGCATTAATTTCGCCCACCTAACCTATGGTGTTTCAGAAACTTTGATATCATTTTCAAGGTTTGAAAAATGTAATAGATGATAATGTTATTAATTCAATATATATATATATATATAATTGTTGGCGAGTCGAATAAATTATTAAAAATATTCATATGATTATTGTAAACCCGATAAATTATTTCACTAGACCAATATCTAATTTCTACCTCTTTTTTTAAAAATATGTTATTATTAGGAAATATATATATATATATATATATATATACATATATATATATATATATAAGAAATTTATAGAGAATATGTTTTCCCATGTATATCTATTTCTTATAGGATATGATTCAGAAACTAAATCAATAAAATAATTACTTAGCAGAAGAATGAATATACAGTGACAGAGAACAGTTATTACATATATACGTATACCTACATCAGCATGTATTATCACGACTGTATATCTATTTAATATACGGACACGCTCCATAAAATAAAATATTATTTTTTTTTCACAATATAATAATGATGTAACATAAGATACGAAGCCTTTACCTTTAGTGACGTAAAATGGCTTTCGGCACGTAGAAAATCATCCCGGAGGAGGGGAAGCCGGGAGGGGAAGATGACGTGTCACAATGTCTTATGTGGAAACCAATTATGGCGCGAATTATCACGTAATGGGCCACGTCATCCGTCAACATCACACGTCACGTCACGTCACGTTTATGCCCATCAGGTCATTTTACTCACCCTTTTTTTACTCTTTAACCTAATTGATAAACTTGATTTCACTAATTAGAATTAAACTAAAATAAATATTATAAAAACATTTCAGAATTAAAAATTAAATAATTAGTCTAAGCATAATTCACACATTTCCAAAACAATTTTTTATATTAAATATTTAAACTTAAAAAAATTCTTACCCTTACCTTTTTACCCATCTCTCTATAATGTTACCATCAAAAGATAAAATGATTTTAGATCTATCGTTATATAAAACATATTATATTCAATATTATATTTTAGAAAAAAATTATAAAAAAATATATACTCTTTAGATGTCGACAAAAAAAAATTATATATTTTTTTATTATAAAAAGATTTTATATTTATACTTATTCACCCAAATATACTTGTATTCTTCATATGGCTGACAAAAAAAACTCTATACTTTTTTTTATAACCAAACAAATAATATACTTATATTTATTCGATGAAATATATCTATACTCTATAAATTATAGCAAATAAGCCCCTAAACGTAAACGACAAAAAAAATACGATAAAAAATCAGTCCGAATATAACCCAACCGATATATATCTGACCCGAATCAAACCGATTAAAACAATTTACCATATTGGATATGAATAATTTAAATCTGAAATAACCGAATCCGAAATAATCGAACCGAACCGATCGATATATCCCCGAACCAAAGCGAACCAATTAAAATGATATACCAGATTGAATAGAAATATTTCAAATTCGAATGAATTCAATATCATTATATTAATTTTTCTAATTAAATTTAGAATATATTTGATATTAATTGATGATATATAAGTAGATAAATGGTTACGGTCAATTCTGGTTCGGTTTATTCATTTTACAATTATTTCGGGTTCGGTTATTTTTGGTTTGGTTATTTCGGATTTGAAATATGTGTATTAAATCCGGTATATTATTTTAATCGGTTTGATTCGGTTTGGATATATATTGGTGAGTTAGGTTCGGACAAATTTTTGACCTCGTTCTTTTTTTGTGTTTGCGTTTAGGAACTTATTTGCTATAATTTATAAAGTACAAATATATTTCGGTGAATAAGTATAAATATAGGGTTTGTTTTGTGATAAAAAATATAAATTTTTTGTCTGACAATTGAAGAGTACATGTATATTTTGGCGAATAAATATAAGTATATCATTTTTTGTACAGATTTTTTTGTCCGGTATAAGATTTTTTTGGCGATTTATTCTATATTTTTTTATATATAAAATCTCTATAATTTCCTCTGAAAAGACAATGAGATCGGATGCCACTTTTAAAAGGATGAGCTTATAATTGTTCATAATTAGATAGGATCCCACAGTAGATGCATGAACATTTATTATGTATATATATATATATACGTATATACATACAAATATATATATATATATATATATATATATATATATATAAAAGAAAGAGTATTAATACATGAGCATGTATTTTTCGGATGGACAAAGGTGTTAATGTGGGTACCTAAAATCGGTTCAGCGTTGGAGTAATTGATTAATAAATTGCAGATTGTTTTGTCTTTCTTGTAACAACTCAAATGAAATGGATTATTAACCATATAGGTATTTAAAATAGATTGGATTATTATATTTATAAAAAATTTACTTTAGAAAAAAAATATATCAAACTACGAATTTCTTCTGTATCTTGTGCCCAATACGATTTCCTTATTAAATCATACGAAATACAATATTTTGTAACGGTAAGGCTTTTAAATGTTCACATCGAGATTGTTTTTGTTTTTTCCTTGATGAAAGAGATAAACTTCGTGATAAAAAGGAAAAAAAAAATTAATCTATTTCTAGTACAAACTATTTTACTATTTTCGTAATTTTAGATATTTTAATAGACTATTAAACTATCACATTATTCTCTGGTGGTAAAACTCAGATTTCTGTTAGAACGAAACTAAATAATATAATATTTATTTTATCACCGGAGTAGTATAGTTTGGATTTTAAAAACTTATATTGTTTATTATTTTTTTTCATGTTATATAAGCTATTGAATTCCAGTAATTAATTTTGGAAAACAAAACTCACATCCCAAATTGAATCGGTTGTAGAAACAGAGAAAACTTAAAACTATGAATGGTTTGAGTTTTTGGCTTTTTGTTTTTAGATTTTGGATTTTAAAAACTCTAAAAACCACTTCCATTCTCAATGATAATTAGTTGGATTGGGAGAGTTTAAAGGGGTTTGTTTTTAGAATTTAGAGATTTTAGTTTGATAAAACTGTATGAATTGAAATTTAGAGTTAAAAAAAGTTCATTTTAAGGAGTTGGTGTAATAAAAAATAAAATAAAATTGAGAAGTTTTGGAATGTTAAATTTGATTCCGCAAGAGCTATACAGAAGAAAACTATTGGAATGGTAAAGAAGATATTCTTTTTAAGAGTCTCTTTGGTTAATTTGCATATTCTCATGGGATTTTACTCTCCTAGGGTTTCTTAGTGCTCTTCTCCAACGTTAATCCTCTCTTAAAACTCTTATTACCAAAAACAAATCCGGAACATTGTATTGTGTTTGAATTGGATCCCATATAAAATCTAAATGGTACTAATTGTTTCTAAATTTGGAAAAAAAAATTAGAATCCAAACAGAATATAAAAATATAAAATAACTTAAAAACATTTTTTTAGAAAAATAAATACTTTTACCGATTAAAATATAGAAAACGAATCCAAACTAAATAAAATTAGAGCTGGACAGAATTCAACATAAAACCAAATGCATATATATGTATTTTTAAACCCTAAAAAATTGATACAAAAATAACCAAAATGATTTCGAACCCAAAACCGAATGAAATATATTATTCCCCCCGTTTTTTAATAGATATCGCCGTTATACAAAATATCTTTTGTTACCAATTAGATATCGTTTTAGATTACCCTTAATTATAAAAACTAACTTTAATAAAAATTAATGAGAATCTAATTTAAAGGGGATATACATGACTTTTGTTTATATTTTTTTAACAATCGTGAAAAAATCTCAAACAAACTGAGAGAGTATATGATAGATAATGATGCGGACAGACCCAAAGATTCATGAACACAAAACCGAGCAATCGTTCGTTTCGCACTTTTAAAAAAACAAAGGAAAATGAGAAACCGGCATGGTTTTTATGCACAAAAGGAACATTGAAGACGGAGGGACAGAACTCGCATGGCATGAGACAGGAACAGAAGTGTTCTTCCGATAAATAGCAACTGACCAAATACCCATCCTCAAATCACCAAACCCACTTCACACGCACGCGCATATATATATATATATAGATATATAGATATGTGTATGTATGCAAAGCCAATCCCGTTTCGGGGGAAACTAGAATCATCGTGCTAGGGCGGATAAGGAATATCAATGAGCGCTGACGAGGAACGGATTTTGGCAAACCCCGCATTCGATGGTCTCTGATCCTGAGATTGGAACCTGTACCTGCAATTGACACACACCAAGGAGACACACTCTCAGAAACCGAAAGGCGAAAACACTTTAACAAGCTTTCGATCTGTCCTCTTCACTTGCTTCAACAGCAAAGGATCTCGGCGGTAAGAAATCTACAATTATTTTGACAAAATCTGTCTATTGATGAGAAAGATGGTCGACACATCTGAATCTGAATCTGCCCATCCTACTTATGATGCATCCATCGACGTTAGATGGTAATCTTAACTATTTCTCATAAAACAGAGGTTGTTCTCAAAATCTAACAGAGAAAGCATAACAAAATAACCTGTAAGTGCACCGTGCAAGTTGGACACGCTACCTCCTTCATCCGCCTCCCAGACCCACCATCATCTCTTGATCCTGTAAATATCGTACCAATCGTCTTGGCAGTTATCCAACCATATTTCCTGTTAATGCAGCTTAGGAACAACGATGTTGGGTCAGGGAGAGAAAAAATATACCAGATGAAGACTTGCGGTTCTTCTCCATTTCGCCCTGTGTCAAAATATCGAGAATACAAGCATCGGAGCTATTAATTTAACATTCACGAAAGAAAGAAAGAAAGAAAGAAAGGAAGGGTGTCGATTAATGATGTCAACTCTCTGTTACCTGAAGCTTCCTGGCAAGGTCTTCATGGCTCTGTGGGCCAACATATCTGTTAGCAGCTTCCTTGGTATTACTCAGCCTTTCTGACACTTCAGCCTGCATAACCAGAAAGAGGTGCAATTAAAATACCAGAGAAATTTAATATGCAAAATCAATTTCAAGACAAGATTCTTGTACAATAGATTCTAGTACAAACATTCGGAATGAATTTGACAGACCCAGAAACCCATGGAATAGATTTTGCAACTAGAGGAAAAATGAAAACTCTAGATTGATGAGCATATCATACCATGCACCGGTCACAGACACGGACTTGGGGAGCATTCTCCTCAGCAGTGAGGGCAATCCTGCCCTGAGTGCACTTGTCACAGAAGATGTCCCCGCAGTTCCTACAGTGATGCTGAACAAGAAAAATACAATGGCCATGAATGAGGGTCAACAATTCTCACCATAGTTGAAAAACTGCTTTCAAATTATCATATCAGGGGGGAGAAAAAAAGGTTACCCTTCGCACAAATGCACCAAAATCTGTACCACATGATGTACACTTTGAAACAGCTTCATCAGGGACCTAATGCCAACAATAGCATGAAGAGAGAACGATGATCATAACAAAGCAAACATGGTATAGTAACTCTGAGAGAAGCAGCTGATCATCTTAACTACCCTAACATAAAATTCTTTGGCAAAATTTTTTTTTCAATAGAATCCTACCCAGTGTTCCTTTTCCTCATTTACAGGCTTGATTATGTTCATCCAATCAGCAAATCCTTTTTTCTTCTCAGCAGCCTGCTCAGTTGGTTTCACCGAGGCAGGAGGCCTACTGCTGCTTCCCCCAATCTCCTTTGCCTGGAATAGACAATGAGAATCACGTCAGATTAAAAACAGAGAAGGATGATTGAACTGAAACTAAGACCTGAAGGAACAAAAGTCATGGAGGTAATACAAACCTGAAACATTGCAGCTGTCACAGTGTCCAGAAGGGTGTTGGTAGTGTAACTATTCGATTGCAATCTGATACGCCTAGGTTCGATGTCCACTGGGCTCTTGGACCAGAAAGCCAGAATAGAAGAATCTAATTTCTGATAGAAGGATGAATACAAAGGGTATCATGTCACCATTCATGATAGCAGAATAAAAAATGGAAAGGAGAGTACAGTGTCTCTCACTTCGCATCTTGTAACGTTCTCAAGAGGATATATTCTCAGTGTTCGGCTAGTACTTGGATCAAGCATTCGGATCCCATCCAAACCAACCTGCAAGCATAAAACTGTCAACTAATTACCCCGTAATAACACCTATCTCTAAGAAACAACTTGAAAGGCAAAAGGTTTAACTGAGAGAAGACTCAGATTTTTGTTCATCCCCTATATAGAGGAACATACAGTGGGTAAATCAATCACAAAGAGAAAAATTACAAGCCACTCAGGCCACCAAAACAGAAAGTTGCACCGTTGCAGAAAAATTAAGAGGAATCTTCAACAAGCAACAAACCCTCCATTCCTCCAAGCGAGTTAAATGAAACCAGACCAATATCCCGCAGAAATACAAACCATTTAACAAGAGAGCATTACACGTTCAACTTTTGACTCCAATTTGCAAAGCCTGAGCTACATTCCATAACACAAAAGGATGGCAAATACTGAAACTTTAGATAGGAACTTCGAGTCTACAAGATTGCCCACGCCCAAGTTACCAACCAAGCAGGAAAAAGGAAACTATCGATTCTCTATGTGCACAAACTTCAAAAATACCAACCATAAACAGTTGAAGAATGGAATGATAACACATTACCTGGCAAAGCACATCCATGGTGGTTTGTCCATAGGTTTCAGCCAACAACTTGACGCGGAATTTCTGCACCCCGCTCTTAACATCCTCCTGCGTATCCGCTTTTGGAACAGCCCTCACGATCTTGCCCAAACCCGAGTTCGCCGAGGAGTTCCTGCTCGAAGAGAAGCTAATGGATCGTCCATAATCATCGAACAAGGTCGAGTTGGATGACTTCGGCGCTGTTCCACGAGCTCCATAGGGCTCTACTTTGCCCCCTTCATAAGCATAGACGCCATCGCCATAGGAATCTTCATATCCAGCATATCCTCCGCTGTCGGATCGTTTCCCGTATAGATCGGAGCTCAAATCTGATCTACTCCTGCCGAAACCTCCATAGGCAGGTTGGTCAAATTTCACTGGATTATCGTACGGACTCTCATAGGAAGGAGAAACGGAAGCTCCTGCGGCACTATATGGAGGTGCCGAGTACAACGACGATGCGTAAGGCGGACCAGAGATAGGGTTAGAGTTTGGCGCAACAGCTGACGGCGGAGAAGGAGGAGGAACGTATCCGGAGATATTCTGATGCTGATCATACGCCGGAAAATATGGCGAGTGCCCGGTAGATTGCTGATATGGCGGAGACGACTCGAAGGATCCGTACAAAGACACCGGTGCAGGAGCCGGAGGCGACTGATTGAAGGAAGAGGTATAAGAATTAGGGTTTACCGACGTCGATGGAGGAGGTGGCGGAGGAGGCGGTTGTGCCGCGGGAGTGAATGAAGGGGCTGAAGGAAGAACATGATCGGAATTCTGCGTGTACGACTGATAATTCTGGGTGAACGGCGAGTATTCTCCGCCGTAGCCGCCGGTGAATGGAGGCGCCGACGCGTACGAGCTCCTGGAGGGATCCACCGTAGCTGGCGTCGGGTTCGGGTTCGGGTTCAGATTCGGATTCGGATTCGGATTAGGGTTTTGGAATTGAGCATATTGATGATAATAGGAACTGTGATCTCCTTGCTGCATAGCTGATCGGTGACCGGAAAATTCTCAGGACTTCTGGATTTGATCGGAGATTATTTCGACGAGATGATCGGAGGGAGGACGATGACGAAGCGTGTGCGGAAGTTGGAAGAATCGAGGGTCAAGGGAATATCAGGCGAGGGAGTAATTACCGTGTGTGACGCAGGATTTGTGAAGCTGATACGTCAGTGCCACGTGGCAAATTTAAACCGATGATGATTCTCGCGTTAGGTCTATAACATCGCGACGGTTATCATATTCGGGAAGAAACTACTCTCTGTTTATATTTGTGCGAAACGGAATGCATTCCACTCCTCAGCTAGCGATGGCAAAAGTAGGTTACCCAGCCCATTCAAACCCAGCTCATATGCGTTGAATAAATTCTTTAATATGTTGGGCTTGACCCATAAACCCATATTGTCCCAATTAAACTCATTTACTTCACTTTAGTTAAAAATTATCTTAGTTGATGTCCAAATATATAAAGAAAACTCTTTGGTGCCATATTTCTGAATAGTGAATTCCAACAATTGAGATTTGAAATTCGATTTCAAATTTTTTTCGATACATACCTCAAATTTCAAATTTATTTTTAATTATCATTTGTGATCTTCATCTGAATTAAAAGGAAGAAAAAACTGAATAATCAATAATCAGAGGGAATGAGAGATGAGCGAT